ATTTTCGATTTATTCGAAATATAGATGAATTGTATGTTGTATGTTATTGTTGAGTTATGGATATTATGGTTTTGGAGGATTAATCGATTGGGAATATTTTTTTTTTGGAGTAAAAATGGATTTAAAGAATAATTGAATTTTTTGGGTGTTGTATTAGACATTATGTGTTGTTGTAATTTGGAAGAATTGAAAGTTTTTTTTGCAACAGGTATAAATGGCATATTGTGGTCCGTATTTTGTTAATTTGTATTGGCGATGTGCGAAGGAACAGTTAAGAGATTTTGTTTCATTTATGGATAGTCCGGATGGTTCATTTGTGATTACGGGGAGGATATCATATGAACAATTGGTACAGATGATTAATGAAAATTGTCGTTTTGGAGAAGGTTGGTCAAGCGATTACTTTAATGTTTCGTCAACGCGATGATTCGTGGACTGCCGGAAGACTCGATAACGATAGTGCTCTTGAGTGGATTTATTTATCTCCTCCTATGTCCGTTGTGTATTTGCATTTATCGTTGGAAGCAATTACACCGGTCACACAATTTGAGGATTTTACTCCTTATTACGGGGGAATGTATGAGGGCACGTCGACTTCTCATCTACGTAATTTTGGAGAAGGGACAAGCTCACCAATTAGAGAAAGGGCAAATGAGGACGAGGAAGAAAGTGACGAAGAGTTCGTACTCGGTGAAGATGATTTCACAGACGAGACCTCAGAAACCGAATCAAATAGATCGGTGAATGAGGAGAGTGAAGCCGAGTTCATTGAAGAAGAATTCCCCTTTCCTAGTGGTGATCGGCACGTATACCGCGAGATGGGTGAATGGGACTCGTCCAAGATAGATGAGGACGAGTATGCTATTCCACGCTGGAATGGCGACATTGAGACCATACGTTTGGGTATAGTTTTTCGGAGCAAGAAAGAAGCCCAAATGGCTCTGATGGCTTGGAACGTCGATAGGTTGCGGGAGATTCGGATAAATGATTCGAATCAAAAGTCATACAAAGTGGTCTGCAGATCTAGTGAAGATCCGCATTGTCTATGGAAGGCTCGGGTGACTAAGTCCAAACGGGTTCATGAATTGTGGGAAATAACGGAATGGACTGATAGTCATACTTGTATGCAACCGGTCGAGAGAAATGACCACAGAAATGTAACCGCCCAAATGATTTCAAATCTCATTCGTAATAAGATTCGAAAGAAATTGGAGTACGGCGTCGACATGATCCAGGCTGATGTGAAACAGTGCTGGAAAGTGGATGTCAGCTACAAGAAGGCATGGCACGGAAGGAGAAAAGCCATCGAGAGTGTGTATGGAACTTGGGAATCGAACTTCGCAGAACTCCCTCAATAAGCAAAAATTTATTACAAATATATATTTATTTAATGTCTGTCGCTATGTTTATCTATTTATTATGAAACTGTTTTGTAATGTGTAGGTATTTTGCCGCGCTTCAAAGAACGAATCCCTCCACAGTTGTAGAGTAGGAATGGCAGGGTGGGGAAATGGAGCGACACCTTCGAGACAGACAATTCAAATTTGTATTTTGGGCGTTTGGTCCCGCCATTCAAACTTTACGAAGGTGCCCGCCGGTTATTAGCGTCGATGGCACACATTTGCGTGGATCCTACAAGAAAAAATTGCTTGTGGCCGTAGCACAGACTGCGAATAAGTGGTTATTGCCGGTCGCGTATGCGCTTGTCGATGAAGAAAGCACGAACAGTTTGTCATTTTTCCTTAGGAATCTGCGGCAACATGTAGTCTTCCAGAGACGTATCTGCATTCTTTCTGACAGGGATGCGGGCCTACTCAGTGCCATTGAATTATTACCAGATTGGCAAGAACCCGCTGCGTATCACCGGATTTGCCTTCGACACCTTCGAAGCAACGTGGTGACTAATTTCAGGAGTAAGAAAATTCGGACTTGGTGAAAAATATCAAATACAACTATATATTATCTTATAAAGCAATAGAAATTGATTTATATTAATACACCATAAAAGTTAGGTCTCAACTTAAATAAAAACTACAAAGAGACTAGACGAGGGAAGAAAACTATAAATATACTCATACACATATATTATTATATTTTATAAAATTTAAAAGTATTATGCTCATACACATTATATTATAAAGTTGAAGATAAGTAAAAATATAATAGACGAGGGAAAAGAAACTATACATATAAAATACAGTTAAGAAAAAATAAGAAAAAAATCCGAAAAGTGGAAAATCATTTTCCCGCTTCTTTTTTCAATTTTTACCCTTTTCGGAAATTTTTTTTGAATTTTTTTCACATGTCCCGCCCATGCAATTTGTTTAAGCGGATTAACTTTTTCATAAATTTAGATGAGATTTATATATATCACATAAATCTTTACAACCAAAATTAGTGTTAACCAATCAAATCGGATTTGATGATCGGATATTGTTAATTGATATCGGATATTGTTAACTAAAATGATAGGATTTTGGTAAACAATCAGATATTAAATTTGGATCATATTTATATATATGTATATCATCGGATTGTTGATAAACAAATTTTCACGATATGCACGGATCTTTTGGGGCGCTATAAAATTCTCGATTTTAATAAATTAACTGGAAAATGATTTTAATCATTTTATTAATTTATATCTTTTAAACGTTTCTAACATGATCCTAATGTGCAAGTGAAATTAAAAGTTGGAGAATAATAAAAATCACATTCATACAATTTGATTGATTATAATAGAAAATAAAAGGAAATAAAATAATTTACACCCAATCACGATATATACAATCACGATATACATCCAACAATTTCAAGAATAAACCGATATATACACCCAACGATCCTATATACATCCAACCAATTCGATTGATAAATGTTTATTATTTATTTTTTCTTTATGTGATATAATCAAAATTCGTTATTAAAATTTTAAATTCAAGCATTTAAAGAAGAAGATCACAAAACAGATTTTTTTGAGTAAATTTCATTTTATCTTGATTTTCATATAATCACATTCCTAACAAATTAATTAATATTACATTTTTTATCTATTTTCTAACCTATTTTTTTACTATATAATTAATATAATATCTTAACTAATTAATTATTTATCTAACCGGATTTATCTCTCTAACAAACTTGCCATTTTTTGGTATGATTATTCTTACGGAGATATTTACCAATATATTAAACATTTAGAAACTTTTTTGAAAAAAAAAATGAGTTATCCCTACTTTTACTTTATTTTAAATTCTAAGTTATATTTTTAAATATATTTTTTTTACGTGTAAATATTTATTATTTATTATCTAAGTGATAAATAATATTGATTATATTTTTAATAAATATTTATTATTTATTTTTTTCCTTACCTAATATAATGAGAATTTGATTATTAGATTTTTAAATTCAAACATTTAAATGAATAGATCACAAGCAGATTTTTTGGGTAAATTTTATTTTTATCTTCATTTTCATATAATCACATTCCTAACAAACTAATTAATATTATATTTTTTATCTACATTATCTAATTGGTTTTATTATGATATAATTAATGTAATATCATAACTAATTAATCATTTATCTTACCAGAATTATCTTTCTAACAAACTTGTTATTTTTTTTGAAATTAAAAGGGTATGATTATTCTTACGGAGATACTTACCAATATATTAAATATTTATAAACTTTTTCTAAGAAAATAATTTATCCCTCCTTTTACTTTATTTGAAATTCTAAGTTATATTTTTAAATATATATTTTTTTTTTACGTGTAAATGTTTATTATTTATTTTTTTTCCTTACGTGATATAATCTAAATTTGT